CGAGCGCACCATGCCAAGAAGGGAAATGGTTCCCTGCTCAGTCGATTTTGGGTTGTGTTTGTTTGAACCACATGCGACATGTCCTGAAACAGAACTGGCAAAAAGCGAGATAATAGTTGAGCGAGCATCGGCCATTTTTTGCCTTTTCAATCCTTTTCAGCACCTGTAAGGCACCTGTACCACAACTGGGAGCCCTGAGCATCAACTGCTGCCCGCCTAGTTTTCGCTGTACCAGGAATCGAGTCGTCAGCTTCAACCTGACGAGGCCGCCAACGCTGACAAGGTTCCACATCAAAGAAGCATTGATGCTCTCAGCTCTCTTCCACAAAGAAAAACGAACAAGAACATCTCTCTCTCTCTCTTGCACATGTTCAACTCTGGTTACGGTTGTCAAACCTCGGCACATTGTCAATCTGCGGCAGATTGTCAAGCTTATGGTCCATGACTCAGTTACAGCATCAGAGGAGCTGCGGAGCATTGCGGGGCCTGAGAGTTGCCAAGCTCCAAGAAGTACTTGGACAGTTTCACGATGTCCAGGTGACCTTCACCTCACAGGCTACGCTGAGCAAAGCACCTGGTCTCCTTGACATATCTTGACATGTGTCTGGAAATCGCTCTATGGTTTACTCAGTTTACTATGTACCGGGCGGACGTTGTTTCTTACCCCAGGCACCCAGAAGTTACCCCATCCCAATGGCACACAGGGTTACCCCAGTCCAACCGGAAGTTACCCCAGGGACCAAATCCTATTGGCACACTGGTACCACGCCATCCTTGGTTTGGCCAACAAAATATTAAAAATGTGTCCGTGCCATTGCGAGCCACATATTTAATACCATCTCCCTTGGTGATAAAACCATGTTGAAAGTGGGCAACCGCCATTGGCACACGCGCATTGACAGCAAAACAGCTGCCTTCCATCCAAATGAGAAAAGTAACCAAATCTCCGCATGGCACACCAAGTTTCATGGCATTTCCAACATACAAACTTGGATGTGATCGACGTCACATTCCTATGGTTTCTATGATAAATTCTACTTCATGCCAATCAACCCTTTCATCCACTTCCCCATGGCACACCGCTGATCGGATCGACTGTCTTTTTTCAGGTCATCTTCTTATGCTTTTGGTTTCTTCCGCACAGCTTCCAGCCTTTTCACAAATCGCTTGGTTCTCTGCCCAAAAACGCGCCCTGCCCAGAAGCAGCAGCACAAGCAACAACAACAGCAGCAGCAGCAGCAGACCAAGCAGCAGACCATTGCAAAGCCTTTCCAAAACGGCTGGGTTTTGACTGGCTGCAATTTTAACGAGGTCCGAACGAGGTGCGAACGAGGTCAGAACGAGGTCCGGAATCAAATTTTGGGAGACTGACCCCTAAGTCTCCTGACAAACTCCTTGGTAGCCACGCGCTTTCGCATTTTTTTCAGAACAGTAAAACTCAAGAGCTTTCAGCGGTGGAGCGGAAGAGGAAACCAAGCCAAGCAGCAGCTGCAGGCAAGAGAAAGGAGACAGAAGAGGAGACAAAGGGCGAGTAAGGGAGACAGAGGGGAGACAAAGGGACGCAAGCTTGGCAAACAAGGCGGCGGTGACAAATTTGAGCGGGCACAGACTTTTTGAGACGTAGGAACCGTGATAGCCAGGTAAGCATTGTGTGTCTATGCGAAGTGCCAAAAAATACATCAGCAAGTAAAAGTCATAGGCGCTGCCCATGTGGGCCTCTCCCCATTCCCCATAGGCACACCACGATTTGGCACAAGATCTTGTCATCGGCACTTGTTACAACATCGACCCAGCTCCCACCCACTGGCACCAAATGGCAGGCACACCGATGTTAGCACAAGATCTGTTGTGCTGTACAAAATCATGGAAATACCCAGGGCCACATATTCTCTTTGACCGAGCATGCCACTGCGTTTGGATGTCACAAGTATCAAACCAAGTAATCCGCCGACCCCGGCCTTCGCCAAGGCCGGGGCGGCGCCTGGGACCACCGCAGGTGTGGACCTTGTCCTCTTCCAAACCCTCCAAACCTTTACCCTTAAGCAGCTTCCCCAACAGGCACCCCAGGGCCAGGGCCACAGCAATGACTTTCTATGAGCTTTCAAAGCTGCCATTTGCCAGCCCGCAAAGGCTCCAAACGCCTCCAAAATTCCAAACCCCAGGGCCAGGGCCACAGCAATGAGACTTTTTATGAATTTCAAAGCTGCCGTTTGCTAGCCCGCAAAGGCTCCAAACTTTCCAAAACAAAATTCCAAACACCTTCCCCAACAGGCACCCCAGGGCCAAGGCCACTTCCCCAACAGGCACCCCACGGCCAGGGCCAAGGCCACTTCCCCAACAGGCACCCCAGGGCCAGGGCCAAGGCCACTTCCCCAACAGGCACCCCAGGGCCAGGCCACAGCAATGGCTTTCTTAGGCTTTCAAAGCTGCCGTTTGCCAGCCCGCAAACCCTCCAAAACTCTCCAAACGCTCCAAACGCTCCAAAACCCGCCAAACCCTCCAAACACCGTCCCCAGCAGGCACCTCAGATCCACAGCAATGACTTTCTTGATGCTTTCAAAGCTGCCGTTTGCCAGCCCGCAAAGGCTGCAACCCCTCTAAAATTCCAAACACCTTCCTTAACAGGGGGCCAGGGCCACAGCAATGACTTTCCATGGGCCTCAAAGCTGCAGTTTGCCAGCCTGCAAAAGATCCAAACTTCCAAAATTCCAAACACCTTCCCCAACATGCACCCTAGGGCCAAGGCAACTTCCCCAACAGGCACCCCAGGGCCAGGGCCCAGGGCCAGGGCCAAGGCCACTTCCCCAACAGGCACCCCAGGGCCAGGCCACAGCAATGGCTTTCTATGGGCTTTCAAAGCTGCCGTTTGCCAGCCCGCAAACCCTCCAAAACTCTCCAAACGCTCCAAACCCTCCAAAACCCGCCAAACCCTCCAAAACCCGCCAAACCCTCCAAACACCGTCCCCAGACCACCGCAGGTTGGACCTTGTCCTCTTCCAAACCCTCCAAACCTTTACCCTTAAACAGCTTCCCCAACAGGCACCCCAGGGCCAGGGCCACAGCAATGACTTTCTATGGGCTTTCAAAGCTGCCGTTTGCCAGCCCGCAAAGGCTCCAATCCCCTCCAAAATTCCAAACCCCCAGGGCCAGGGCCACAGCAATGAGACTTTTTATGGGCTTTCAAAGCTGCCATTTGCCAGCCCGCAAAGGCTCCAAACTTTCCAAAACAAAATTCCAAACCCCCAGGGCCAGGGCCACAGCAATGAGACTTTTTATGGGCTTTCAAAGCTGCCGTTTGCCAGCCCGCAAACCCTCCAAAACTCTCCAAACGCTCCAAACCCTCCAAAACCCGCCAAACCCTCCAAACACCGTCCCCAGCAGGCACCTCAGATCCACAGCAATGACTTTCTGAAGGGACTAAAAACATGAGGTTACAATGACAGTCCTAAGAACGGAGGGTCCTTGACACTCAAAGTATATATAAATCCATCTGTCTTTCTTCCTATGCCACTATCTATCTATCCAACAATCGATCTATCCATCTGTTTATCCAACTGTCTATCTACCTATCTGTCATCTATCTCTCTCTCTCTCTCTTTCTCTCTCTCTCCCTCCCTCTCTCTCTCTCTCTCTCTCTCTCTGTCCCTCTATCTATACATCTGTCCAACAATATCTATCCACCTGTTTATCAAACTGTCTATCTACCTATCTATCAATCTATCTCTCTCTCTCTCTATCCCTCTATCTATCCATCAATCTATCATCTATTCACATGTCTACCTGTCTGTCTGTCTGTCTATCTATCTATCCATCCATCCATCCATCCGTCCATCCGTCCATCCATCCATCCATCCATCCATCCCCATCCATCCATCCATCCATCCATCCATCCATCCATCTCTCCCTCTCCTCTCTCTCTCTCTCTCTCTCTCTCCCTCTCCCCACAGTCCCCCCCAAATAGAGGGGGGTCGGCGGCACCTGGGCGCTAGCCCATTCTATAAACAAAAACGTTTATGACAACCAGTGTGCCCCTGCGTTAAGTGCCCTGCAATGGACAAACAAACAATAAGAGGGCTTTTGACTACAAATGGTAGGTTCATGTTGGTGAAATTCAGCGTGCCTATGCATTTTGTGGTCTTACAATAAGCAATGATCCATTGGAATAATAATACCATATGTATCTTTTATATCTTTTATACACACTTCCCCACGGCACACCGACCTGAGACAACTTCAGGGGAGACGAGATAAGAAACAACATGAACCCAGTACATCTACTTACCCTCCGAAGACCGCTGCAAGCGGCTCAACACCAAAAAAAAGCACCTGCATCTGTGGCATCTGTGGGTTGGCGGGTCTACTTGCGTGCAGGGCGCTGTTCCTCGGCAGCTTCCGAAGACTGGCCTTGACCCGTTTGGACATGGCCCGGCAACCATCCAATCGTTCAAGGCTCAGCTGAATACACGGATCAACGTTCACAGGATGTCACAGTTGGTTCTTTTCTGGAAAGGATATGGTAACCGTATGGTCTATTGAAAGACAGGTGGTAAAGTTAAAGCCGTGTCTAAACGGATTGGCTTTGCAGGTTCGTGACAAACTTTAAAGAGTGACAACCTCCAAATTCCATCGTGCAGCTCCCACCTGGCCTGAACTTCGTCCTGGCTCAGCTCACTTCCTGCGACGCCAACGTCTTAAAATGTCAACCTGCGGGTCCTAGCATAGACACACCAACAAGTATATAACTAGACCCGTATTCCATATAACAGATTATTACAGTGGTTGTTTTCGGATTTCTGCAGAGGTTTAGCTTGGGTCAAAAACATCACTATCATCACTCTATATGTTTCTATGTGTTTCTTCTTGTTTCTACTCTTGTATGGTATGGTTTGGGAGTCTCTGCATGCTGGCTCCACCTGGACCTGTTGCTCCCTGACAGACGTGGCTTCACGGCTGCTCTAAGCCCGTCTAATCCTGCCTCTCATCACTTCTTGCAGCTCTTCCTCTGACAATGCGCCTTTACCGTCCGTGTCGAACTGCTTTAGATAGTCCAGCAATTCCTGCGACAAATTGCAGAGACCATCTCCAAATTGCACATAGTGACAAGGAGTGAGTTGAACCATGTCAAATCTTAACAAATGACAGGAAGCTTGGTGCATCCCTCATGGGTCGTCAGGTTGGCCTGAACTTTCGGAATCAGCTTTCCCAATTCCTCCTGCATGGCAGTTTGATGCAGCTTGCGGGCTAGAAATCCAAGGATCTGACCCCTGTATCCACCAGTGGAGATTGCCCGGGATTCCACCAAGCCTTTCAACAACTTCTGCCCTGGTTTTTTGGATCTTTGATTCCTTTGAGTCTTTAAGACACCCAAAAAGAGTTGCTTCACTTCTGAAACATTTGCAAGAGCGACATGAAGCACACTTCAGACTTCTCACATTCAGATACATGCAGTACATAAAACTTCATCAAGCACGGTTCATCCCAGTCCTCTATGAAACGGTGAAACATCTTTCGGTCAATGTATTTTGGACCTCCGAGACCTGCCAAATGCTTTTTGACCTCATTGCAGCAGGGAGATAGAAATGATAGAAACACTTCAACAGTTTATGAACATTGGCACGAGAGGGAAGCAATAGTCTCAATAGTCTCAAGGCTATTACACAACAGCAATGCCGTCAAAGAACCTCATATTCCGTGGGGTTCATCCCAAGAATAGCCATGGCATGTCCAAGTCGTTCCGCGGGAACCCCAGAAGGCTGGGAGAAATATCTGAAGACCGCGTTCGTGGAAGCCCTGACATCGTTGAACATCGTGCTGTAGGCCTTGGCAAATCGATCCCAGAGGCGCATCTGGGGGCTACAGCTCATTTCTTGGTGGAGAACATGTGCAATTCAAACACTTTGATTGAAAACACTGACATGTTTTCAGGTCAAACAGGGGGAGGTGTCGGGAAAAAAACTGTGTTCATATATGTTCACGTCATTGAATCCTACTACACTCGATGCCAGAACCGCAGATCAGAGTTGCCCACTTCATGACTTTGTAGATTCCTTCTTTCTTCAGCAATTGAACCCTCCGAGAAATATTGCAGTGTTGCCGCAAGACTTTGCATCTGCCTTGAAATCCGTAAGAAGCATTGAACATCTATCAGAACCGACGGATCTGAATCTTTTCATGAGAAAAGCCTCTGAGCAAGAACAGATTTGCTCATTCTTCTACCGGAAAGCCGAGTCCCCATCCAGCTGGGTATTCTGTATCTCAGGTATCAGTCGCGAGTACTCAGTAGTCAGTAGTCCCACTCCTGAGCCTCCAAACTGCTGGGCCACTGGCGCTCTCCTGTCTTCCACCAAAAGAAGGAACCCCTTTTTGAGAGACCGCCCAACTGCACGGAATTCAATTATCATCAATTATCAACTTTGGCCAAACTGCCCAAAAACAATTGGCTGCATGACCAGCCAACGGCTACTGTAGAAGCTCAAAGCACCAAAGCTTCAAATCCTCCAGCTCCCGCATGTGCCTCGGCATCAGCTGATACATCATCTTTGACCACCTTGCAGCGCAGTCACATCCACTGTTTTGGTCCAGTGAACGGAGAAAAGGCTAAACTCAGCATGTGGACATGTGCCAAATGTGCTTGCTTTGATAGTGAAAGAAGTGTCTATAGTCTATACCTAGAAACACCAGAGGCAGAAAAAAATGCCTCAGGCCCCCGAGGCGAAAAATAACGCCGCATGAGTTTTGTTTTGCCTCTGGTGGGTTAAAAACGCCTCTGGAAAGCAAGAAACGCCTCAAACACAAGAGTTTACCAAAGCCCAAGGACTCCCGCCATGGCGACTTTTCAGTTGCAAAGCCCACAACTAGGGACCAAACCCCTGACAAACAGCCGCACGTACTGCTAAGGAATTTTTATGATTTCCCTATGTAATGAACGCTGCAAGAAAAACAATGCAGAAAACAAGCCCTAGAGTATATACAGTATATACAGTATATATGTGTTCATAGTTGCACATTTTTGAAGCGTTGGCTTTCATCGACATTGAATCACTTGGATTGCAGCTTTCAACAAAATTTCACGGCAAGAAGAAAACTAGAAGACTCAAAATCCGTGATACAACCTTTTGGGCATGTTTCCGGCAAGATTTGGACCTCAATGTTCAGAGTCCGTCCTTTTCCACCGTTTTCCCGCCCTTTTCCGCCGTTTTCCCGCCCTTTTCCGCCGTTTTCTGTCCTCTGAATTTTCAATGTTTCCAAGTTTTTCCTGGTCTACCTTTGTTTTTTCTCATGACAGCAATTTTTGTCGTATTCACTTCCGTTGCCTTTTGGAAACATGCTGCAAATGCCAAAAAGCAACAAACAATTCCAGTGAGACAGCATTTTGTGGGCAATGACAGTCTCGCTGACAGATTTTAGCCACGCAGCAGCTACGCCCCCAGTTTTAAGTGATTTACACTATTGAGATTTGGAATTGGATTTAGCCAAGGCTTTGCGTTCGCAGGTATTGAAATCAAAGAAATGTCCGCTGTCATTTACCCATCCCAGAACAATCTAGAGCAGAGAAAAAGGAAAAACAGTGAAAAACAAGGATTACAACAAAAACGCCTCAGAAAACAAAAAATGCCTCAGCAAAGCAAAAAATGCCTCAGATCAACTGGAGGCGCCGCAGACCCTCCGAGGCGTTTTTTTTTGCCGTTTGGTTTTTCCAGGTATGTGGTAAAGTGTCTCACATGGCCGCAAGTGACAGCAATTTTGAGACTCAAGCTGAGCTCAATGTTATCTTGAATGAAACGTGCAGAAGTCTAAAGCAACAAAGCTCTAGCCCCTGGTCATTCATGCCTGAATTTTGACTGCTTTGCTATCTGCTTCACTCGCAGATGCTCTCTCTTTCTCTGCCTTGCAACTGACTTGTCAGGCCTTGAAACATCTTGAAACTACGTGCTGAGAAAAAGTAAGCAAGCTGCTCCTCTGCTACATGTTTCCATTTCCAAACCACACCAGGTCCACTGCTACATGGTTTTGTGGGCCACAACCAGAAGTGGCGCTTACACAGTCTTGCTTAAGATTGTCTGGTGCGTTTATTCGAATTGACGTCTGGTTGTAAGGTTGAAGGTTGAATCACGTGGGTTCAGAGCGCCCGCATGAGAACAGTTCTGCCATCTTTGACCTGAAAACATCATGATATATTTTCCCAATGTCTATTCTGTCTGAAGAAAGACACGTGCTAACACCTCGTTAACCTTGATTCATGAGAAGAAAATTGAAAAACAGTGAACTACTGCGAAAACCAAAGACACATATTTCGCTATACAAGTGGAGAAAATGAATTCTGTTGCTTTGCCGTTCCCGGTGTACATCAGGCTGTCCTCCTGAATCTAAACTCAATGCAAGAAAGAAATGAAGGAAATGAAGCACTATGTTTTGATTTTGTCACAAAATACGTATAGATTTCGATAGCCATTGTAGGATATCGTAAGTCAATTCCCACCGGCGATTCCCCCAATGGCTGCCATGGCTGCCTCCGATGGCTCAAGCATGTCCTGCGGCTCAAGGGATGACAAGACCAGCCACATGAGCCCAATAAGATATGCTCTCAGTCGACCAAAAAAAATGGTGATCCCAAAGAAACCGATTTCTGTTCGTGTGTAGACAAGGGATGACAAGTTGATGACGGTAATGTACCGAGAGCCGCCTCATCACCCAACTCCAGAAAACACGTTGCCAGCTCCACAATATCCAGCTGACCTTTACCTCCGTCAAAACGAACTGGGGTCCGCTTGGAAAATGATGGAAAATGGGTAAGGCTCAATTCAAAGCCCCAGAAAAGCCATGAGTTCGAACCATTTTTAAACACCCACCATCCATCTTTTTGGTGATACCCAATCGACCAGATCGGAAAAAATGCACTTCATGACTTGGCAACTTGGGAAGATGTGGTCCAATGTGGTGAACGGATGTGGATACTGGTTCCATCAAACACTTTGGCTAACCGTCAGCTAGTAGCTTGCATCCGGGTGGCTGTTGCTTGGCATCTTTGCGACACTTGCCTCGCGACCCAGCGGAATCCCAAGCTGTCTAGGACTCTGCGAGTCGCTGGTGAGAAGAAATCGTGGTGAACGCAAGGCCGGATTCTCTTCAGTTTCTGAAGAAAGGAAACTGAAAAACACCGGACTACGAAAAACAAGTGTGTCACTGAACAAGTGAAAAAGTGATTTTGGTTGTTGCTTTGGCGTTCCAGTTGCAGACCCTCGTTGCTGCAGTTGCTGCAAGTTCTGATTCTTCCCCAACAAGCCTGGAGTTTCTTCTGGCTCAGCTCACTTCCTGGACGCAAAATGTCCGATTTCAACCCACAAATTGTACTGAAAGACTCCATAAAACAATATAATGTCAAATATATGTCAACCATGTACAAAATCCCAAAGCACCCGGGCATCAACCAATCAACCTAGCATCATTCATTCGCTCTCTCAAAAATCCATCATTCGATACATCCCGGAATACATCCGATGGAAATCCTTTCCTGACACTTCTGATCTCACCGCGCCTCTGATCGCTGCTTGAACTTCTTCAGTGGACAAGGCGCCCTTGTTGGCCGTATCATATTGCTTCAAATAGTCAACCACAGCCTGCGCATCTCACAAGCAGCACATACCAGTAGTCTCTGAAATCCGCAAAAATTTGGCAGCTTTAGATTTAGATCTCAAGGAGTCATTACAGTTTGGCCCAGGAGCAAAGGCAATCATTTTGGCTGTCGTCATTTGACTGGCCTGAACCTGTTCGAGATACTTTGTCAATTCCTCCTGTGCCGTGCTGCAGCTTGCAAAGCTGAAAGAGAATCGGTGAAACAACAGGAACATCAAGCATTCTCAAGGCACAATTGGCACAATGTTCAACTCACACGAATGAAACATCAACTTCACGAAGAATCAAGAATTGGACCATTCCCGAACTGTCCGACTGGTCCGGCTGTCCTGGATGAAACGGTGAAACGTCGCTTGGTCGATGTATGGGCGACCAAGATCTGCCAAGTGTTTGTAGACCTTGCGGAAGCTCAAAACGCAGACAGTTCAACAGACCAAACATGACCAAACTGTCACATGCAGGTCCAGGGAGGTGCGATTTCCTCATCAAAACCTCCACAAAAGCCTCAATCTGCGGCCAAAGATCCTGATGCTCCGTGGGGTTCATCCCCAGGATCCGCATGGCCTGCCCGAGGCGTTCCGCCGGAAGTCCTCGAACTCCATCGCTGAAGTGCGCGAAGACCAGGTGGATGGAACTCATGATTTCGTCGTACAGCTTGCTGTGGACCTCGGCGAAGTTGGCGTCCCACTGAGGGTCCATCTCGGTCAGCCCAAAGACACACTTTGAGGGTAGGAATACGAGAGATGGCAGGCTCAACATCAGAGTCTGAGGAAGATGCGTTTGCAACCACTGACCGCCCGTACAGAAATAGCGGAAACCACGAAAGATGAGCTTGGAATATGGTTCTCTGTTCCCAAATCTTGTGAGGAATTTGAGTTCTTCTGGTGTGGCAAAAACCTCCAAACCAACAACCTTGCTGCGTGCAGTGTGAGAACCTCGAAGCCAAGCAAGCTAGTGAAGACCTTATCAGTGCCAGCACCATGCAACACGCTTCCAGCCCCTCACGTTTTCCTAAGCCTCCCAACTTCCGGGCTGGTGTGCTCCTGTCAACCATACGGCTTCACGAACATGTCTAGCAAATGTCAACATGTTTTATGACACCAAGCTCCTGGGCGGTCGGCATAATGCCACTCCCTCAGAAAATGCATAAGCTGAGGCTGAATGAAGACACTTTGCAAACATCAGCAGTGCGACTTGATTCCGTCGTAGTTCGGCGGACACCAAAGATTCTTCTGAATCCAAGACAGATGATTTGGAAATTTATTGATGTGAATGGGAAATCAACCACAGGAATCGGACAATAACGTTGCATCCATCACTCAATAGGTAATACTGTACGAAGGGTGGGGTTTGGGCCGGTGCACACGTTTCAACTCAACTATTGAAATGCAATCAAAACACAGAGCCAAAAACACCAAATAGATCCATAGATCATGCCATGTTCAGCAAACCTTCCAGCCAAAAAAAAAGTTCAACAACAAACGTCCGAGGTTGATTTCGAAAGCCTAAGACTGCGACATCCTTCTGTTTGGTCCGCCTGCGAAAACGCGCAGAGTGACAACCTCATCTCTTTAAAGAAACTGTCAACATCACGCCATGAGCAAATCTCGCCATGTCCAAACCTCGAGCTGAACGCCAAAAAAATTAAAGTTTGACATGAAAAAAATGCAAAAATGACCAAATGTTACTTTCGTCTTGAAAACGAACAGCTTACTTGGCTTACTTTGGCCATTTCTTCAACCAGTCGAACTTGAACCTGTTGAAACAGCAGTTGCTGGATCTTAATCTAAATGAACTCCAAATGAACAAACCAACGGCCCACGTCACTCTGCCCACGATACCCGTGTGCACCTCAGCAGTAGCTGACACAGCACGTTTGGCCTCGCCATGTAGGTCAAAATGTTGTACGGCTGAGGTGCAACATGGTGCAACCACACCACAAATACGCAGAGGCACGGGGACACAAGCGACAACCACTCACAGTGGGAGACGAAGCAAAGGATGCAAAAGCACTGGCTCAAAAAATGCTACAGAATAGTACAGATATGTACAGATATGTACAGACATGTACAGACAATAAAATGATTTAAAATGATTGTGTGAATCAGCTCTGCCACTCAGAAGCTCTTGTGGAGGGCCTGAGATGAGCCGCCAGAGCCCATGACGACGTCCTGGGAGTCGACAACTCGACAACTCCACCAAAATTTAAAAACCGGAAGTGTTCATGGCCTGATTATCTACGGGAAAATCATGACATTTGTGCAAACTCCCTGGGACCCCTATTGATCGTAGGGGATATGTGTGGAGATGGCCCTCTTTGGCGGACCGGCACCATAGTTTGCATATGTTTGCATTCATGTCTTTATGCATGACTTGCCGGATCTCTCGAGGTCGCCTGATTTTCAATGTCTGACGTATGACGTGTTTGTCCCTTTGGACCTCCGAAAAACTGACTGCGACTGCTGGCCAAAAAAGAACGGGAGAAATGTCGATTTCTCAAGATTTCTCCAATTGAAAATATGTCGAGATGTCGAGATGTCGAGTGTGGTGATCTAGGAATCTAGGCCTGACAAGCTAAGGCTGCCGTCCTTTGAGGAGGTCGACTCGGCGGTGAAACGCCTCGAAACGCAGAGACTAAACCTGAACTGTTTGGGAAACCGATGCAACATGAAACCAATGGAAACACTGGAAAACCCCTGGGGAAAGACTGAAAATTGCATGAAAGTGCATCATTGGACATGAGATTGCAATGGAATCTACAATGTGGAATCATGTGGAACCAATATGAGCCTCAGCAAGAATATGTACTGCTGAGAGGACTGTCAGCAATCTGCGGGACAACTTGCCCTAGGAACTTCCAGCTGCGGCTCCGCGCTCTGGCTTTGCGCTGTTCCAAAGCCAAGCAGGGTGAGCTCGGAATCGCGTTCAAAGAAAACGACAGAAAAAAACTTGTGACACCAAGTGAGAAACCCTTTGCTGCGGCGAGTTTGGAATCTTTGACGTGTTTCCAGTGTTTGTTCCTCTGCGGACGATCGTTGCACCTGGATCCTTTGATCCAAGGTCTAGCACTGGTATCTGGCTACCGACCAAATGAATCACACTCAAATTGGGAGAATTTTTGCAATGCCAATTTTATCAATTTTGCAATGACCTATAATGACGACCTTCCAATTTTTGAATGACCTTCCATTTTCTTGGCAATGTTTGGAGCTGCAAACTGCAACAAGTCGCAAAGAAGGCCCAACTGAGAGTCGTTTGTTCGGGTCCCTCAAATACTGAACAAATGAATCCGTATCATTTCTGCGACTTCTTGCCAAAGTCCTCAAACCCAAAACCATCCTCAAACGGACAGCACGATGTACGATGTTTGTTGATCCCCAAGATACGTTTGGGAGGCCTTCGGAAGGTTTCACTCTAGTGAGGTCCTCAGAACTTGTTGGGCCGGCCCGCGGCAGCCGAGTTTGATTTCCCAATAAGGACTCTCAAAGTATCGCATCAAAAGTGCTGCCCAATTTGGGCATCCCAAAGCACGGAATCGCTTGAAAAAAAATGACATGAAACGCAAGGTCCGCATCCACTGCAACCGGTGCAACCCTTTTTTCTCAGCGACGAGCAACGGTCGCCCGCTGTGGGGATCAAAGCAAACGGCGCGCTCAGCAACATCCGGGTTTGGGTTTTCGAATGCCTCTGGCGCACCACACTCTAGGGGGATCATTGTGATGGTCATCAAAAGTCATCCACCAGACCTATCTATTTATGTAGATATACATACATTTACATGTTTTAAGCCATCACGTTTATCCACATTGGGGTAATTGATTTTGGATGGCATGTGGGAAACTATATATAAAATATACGTTTGCTAACAGAAATAATATTCAAATACATTTATATACATGTAGATACATATATAGTATTATATAATATTATATATATATGTATATTGGTTGAAGGGATGATAATTGTGTAATTACGCTGTATTCAGTTGTATAAAGGTATTGTCCGCCCCCAGAAGATCCAGAAGCACCATGGAAGAAATTCTCACCATGGAACGACCCGAATGGCGCATCCTGGACTTTCAACCAGCGAACCATCGCTTCCTTGCTATCCGTCATCTTTTCGCTTCTTGGTGATTAATGTGGTGAATTCACCAAATATTTCCAAGGGCAACCCCACAATCCTTTGTTGCCTTAGATTCTTGTTGGATACGCCACAGTGATTCATCCTGAGCAGTGCTGTAGCGGTTCCATGGGGTGAAAACAAGTTAAATGGAGGCAAAACCACCGGTTATGGGTCAAAACCCGTCAAAACCCTCCTGTTCTCACCAAAACAGCTGGGAATTAAGGATGTTCATCCCCCAAATCATCATATTGATGGTTATATATATATATATAATTATATAAATACAATATATGATATATGTATTATACAATTATACCGGTATGTCCTCTATTCCATTATACCACCATTTTTGGCTAAATCCTCATCAAATCAATGCCTTGGTCTTTGCAAAGCTCTTGGTTTTCTGCTCCCGCTGCATCTCCGACCATATCCTAGGTCGTTTTTTGTTGAGCGGTGATTAGTTTTCTGACATGGCCACGTTGACTCATGGAACATCGTCGATAGTCAATCTTCCAGGTTGACTTCCCTTGAAGCTTGAAGTGCAAAAAAAACACCTAGCGACTCTTGCGACACTGGATATTTGGGGCATCTAAATCCTGTCACTCGTTTAGAAGGTGGCAAGTCCAGAAATGAGGCCCGCAATGCTGGGTGACCATGGTAACTCAAAAAAGTTACTAGAAACTATGGTCACTACCAACTCAGAAGTACAAGCTTAGATACTCATCTCGCGAGCCCAACAGTTGCTGGGACCTCCATCATTAGATATCTGTAGAATCATCCTGTAGATGATATCATCCAGAAAGTACAGTGACTTGAAGTCGTGTTTCATCACAGCTGGATGTGGCGACATCATCTCACCACATCTCCAAGATTCTCATCCATATCAGCCATGCCAGGCAGGGAAGGGGCCAGGGAAAGGTGGCGGGAAGTGCTGTGGTTTCTGCTGTTGTGCCGAGCTTGCGGGAATGTCCCGTCCATCAGATCCCAAGAAATGGAAAGATGTCGATGTTTCAAAGGGGACACGTCTGATCTTGGAAGATCCGTCTTGCAGCCTTGCAGGTCGTATTCAAAAATGTCTGCTATTTTTCTCCATTCAACGTAGAATTTGTTTTAAAAAAAAAATTACAAAACCAAACGCAGTCAGTGGCTGTCATGTCTGTGTCGACTTCGGAATGTCCTGATGATCCTGAAGGTAAGCTATGGCAGTCCATTGCTATGGAGGTTTCCATAAATGGAGCCCAATAGCTGGATGGTTTATTTCATGGAAAATCCCATCTATAAATGGATGATAACTGGGGGTACCCTATTTTAAGAAACCCCCATATAGTTCTAGCAGGGTTTTTGTTCAAGACTTTTTAAATTCATCCTCAACAACCCCACTATATACTATATAATTACATATAATTACTGTACTGGTGTAAGATTTTGAAATCACGCAGTTCAAAACCCTTCGTGTGTTTTCTGTTGTTTGGCCCCACTTATGCGTGTCAATACTTCCTTTTTCCCACTTGTGGCATCCAGAATTAAAAAAAACCTCCCGATTCGAACCATTTGGGCGCCATTATAAATCACCAACTAGGCCACATACCCAATAAACCACAGATTGGGAATGGGTTTTTGCGGATTTTTGGTGCCACAAAAATCGTTGCGATCGCCATTCCAGGTCGAAATTCCCAATCTATCTATCTTTGGATCAAAAAAAATCAAGCCGTGCATTGGGGCATCTCACAAGTCGCAGGTGCTCTAGATCAATCGAAGATGATCATGATTAAACAATAATTATTAAACATGTAGGTCTCGCACACTCAGGAGCAAGCAGACTCTCCGCCGCATCCGCTTGGAGTGGACTTTTGAGGCTCTGCTCAGCTGAGATCTTTAGAAATAAATGTGGAGTTCAAAATCCATCTTCTTCTTTTCCTCGATCACTTGCTTCAAGGCCTGGCTGTGCGCAGTGCTGGATGGCACTATGACGTCCCCCACAGCGCTAGCCCTCAGCACCCTCAGCACCCTTCAGTCAGGGTCAGAATCTGAACCTCAACACCAAGAATAAGCAGAGGCACCATGAGCAGCCACTTGGAATCCCGGGACACAAAAGGCCTTCACTCCCTCATCGCCGATGGGATTGTCACGCAGGTAGATGCGTGTCACGGAAGTGTTCGTCTTCAAAGCTTCAGCTAGTGCCTGGCCAAAGGGAAAGCGACTTGGAAGTAGATCAAGGTTGACATCGGTGAGACGTCATGAAATACAAATGAGACACAACACTCAGTTTCCGACTCTGAGTTTCCAAAGAACAAATCCCACTGGATCTAGGAATCAGGGCAAATGTCGTTTACTCAGATACATTTCCAGCCAATATCATGCCACTATTCCAGTAGAAAGCATACCACATCAGACCACACAGAATGAGTTCAAGTCAAAAAGAAATTCACCCACTTCACTGACAGTCAACAAGAGTTGGAACCTGGAAATGCGAAGGATGAGCACGAGCAAACTACAAAGCCTTTCAACAAACTGGCGACAAAGACACCATGAGCAGCCACTTGGAATCCCGGGACACAAAAGGCCTTCACTCCCTCAGCGCCGATGGAACTGCGTTCCAAGCTGATGCTTGTCACGGAAACGTTCGTCTTCAAAGCTTCAGCTAGTGCCTGGCCAAAGGGAAAGCGACTTGGAAGTAGATCAAGGTTGACATCTGTGAGACGTCATGAAATACAAATGAGACACAACACTCAGTTTCCGACTCTGAGTTCGACTCTGAGTTTCCAAAGAACAAATCCCACTGGATCTAGGAATCAGGGCAAATGTCGTTTACTCAGATACATTTCCAGCCAATATCATGCCAATATCCCAGTAGAAAGCACACCAGATCATACCACACAGAATGAGTTCAAGTCAAAAATCAATTCTTCCACCTCACTGACAGTCAACAAGATTTGGAACCTGGAAATGCGAAGGATGAGCATGAGCAATCCAAAAAGCGGGCGACAAAGACACCATGAGCAGCCACTTTGAATCCCGGGAAAGGCCTGAGCGCCCTCATTTCTAATGGAATTGGCCCACAGGCCGATGCTTGTCATGGAAACGTTCGTCTTCAAAGCTTCAGCTAGTGCCTGGCCAAAGGGAAAGCGACATGGAAGTAGATCAAGGTTGACATCTGTGAGACCTCATGAAATACAAAGGAGACACAACTCTCAGTTTCCGACTCTGAGTTTCCAAAGAGAAACTTCCACTGGATTCAGGGCAAATGTCGTTGACACAGAGATGCACTTCCAGCCAATATCATGCCAATATCCCAGTAGAAAGCATACCACATCATACCACACAGAATGAGTTCAAGTCAAAAAGCAATTCACCCACTTCAATGACAGTCAACAAGATTTGGAACCTGGAAATGCGAAGGATGAGCATGAGCAAACTACAAAGCCTTCCAAAAAGCTGGCGACAAAGACACCATGAGCAGCCACTTGGAACGACACAAAAGGCCTTCACTCCCTCAACGCCGATGGAATTGCCACCCAAATCGATGCTTGTCACGGAAGTGTTCTTCTTCAAAGCTTCAGCTAGTGCCTGGTCAAATTGAAAGCGACTTGGAAGTAGATCAAGGTTGACATCTGTGAGACCTGATGAAATTCAAAGGAGACAAAACTCTCAGTTTCAGACTCCCAGATTCCAAACAACAATTCCCACTGGATTCAGGGCAAATGTCTTTGACACAGAGATGCACTTCCAGCCAATATCATGCCAATATCCCAGTAGAAAGCATACCAGGCATACCACACAGAATGAGTTCAAGTCAAGAAGAAATTCACCCACTTCACTGACAGTCAACAAGATTTGGAACCTGGAAATGCGAAGGATGAGCATGAGCAAACTACAAAGCCTTTCAAAATGCTGACCATGAGCAGCCACTTGGAACACCGGGACACAAAAGGCCTTCACTCCCTCAACGCCGATGGAATTGCTACTCAGGCGGATGCTTGTCACGGAAGTGTTCTTCTTCAAAGCTTCAGCTAGTGCCTGGTCAAATTGAAAGCGACTTGGAAGTAGATCAAGGTTGACATCTGTGAGACCTGATGAAATTCAAAGGAGACAAAACTCTCAGTTTCAGACTCCCAGGTTCCCAACAACAATTCCCACTGGATTCAGGGCAAATGTCTTTGACACAGAGATGCACTTCCAGCCAATATCATGCCAATATCCCAGTAGAAAGCATACCAGATCATACCACACAGAATGAGTTCAAGTCAAAAATCAATTCTTCCACCTCACTGACAGTCAACAAGATTTGGAACCTGGAAATGCGAAGGATGAGCACGAGCAAACTACAAAGCCTTTCAACAAACTGGCGACAAAGACACCATGAGCAGCCACTTGGAATCCCGGGACACAAAAGGCCTTCACTCCCTCAACGCCGATGGAATTGTCACACAGGTTGATGCTTGTCACGGAAACGTTCGTCTTCAAAGCTTCAGCTAGTGCCTGGCCAAAGGGAAAGCGACTTGGAAGTAGATCAAGGTTGACGTCTGTGAGACGTCATGAAATACAAATGAGACACAACTCTCAGTTTCCGACTCTGAGTTTCCAAAGAACAATTCCCACTGGATTCAGGGCAAATGTCGTTGACAGAGATGCATTTCCAGCCAACATCATGCCAATATCCCAGTAGAAAGCACACCACATCATACCACACAGAATGAGTTCAAGTCAAAAATCAATTCACCAATTCACCCACTTCACTGACACTCAACAAGATTTGGAACCTGGAAATGCGAAGGATGAGCATGAGCAAACTACAAAGCCTTTCAAAAAGCTGGCGACAAAGACACCATGAGCAGCCAGTTGGAACCCTGGGACACAAAAGGCCTTCACCCCCTCATCGCCGATGGAATTTTTAGCCAGGCCGATGCGTGTCACGGAAGTGTTCTTCTTCAAAGCTTCAGCTAGTGCCTGGCCACAGGGAAAGCGACTTGGAAGTAGATCAAGGCTGACATCTGTGAGACCTCATGAAATACAAAGGAGACAGAACTCTCAGTTTCAGACTCCGAGTTTTCAAACAACAATTCCCACTGGATTCAGGGCAAATGTCTTTGACACAGAGATGCACTTCCAGCCAATATCATGCCAATATCCCAGTAGAAAGCATGGTATACAACATCATACCACACAGAATGAGTTCAAGTCAAAAAGCAATTCACCCACTTCACTGACAGTCAACAAAAATTGGAAACTGGAAATGTGATGGATGAGCATGAGCAGACTACAAAGCCTGCCAAAAAGCTGGCGACAAAGACACCATGAGCAGCCACTTGGAACACCGGGACACAAAAGGCCTTCACTCCCTCAACGCCGGTGGAATTCTAAAACAGCTCGATGCTTGTCACGGAAGTGTTCGTCTTCAAAGCTTCAGCTAGTGCCTGGCCAAAGGGAAAGCGACATGGAAGTAGACAAAGGCTAAAATCTGTGAGACCTCATGAAATACAAAGGAGACAGAACTCTCCGTTTCAGACTCCGAGTTTTCAAACAACAATTCCCACTGGATTCAGGGCAAATGTCTTTGACACAGAGATGCACTTCCAGCCAATATCATGCCAATATCCCAGTAGAAAGCATACCACATCATACCACACAGAATGAGTTCAAGTCAAAAAGCAATTCACCCACTTCACTGCCAGTCAACAAAAATTGGAAACTGGAAATGCGAAGGATGAGCATGAGCAAACTACAAAACCTTTCAACAAACTGGCGACAAAAACACCATGAGCAGCCACTTGGAATCCCGGGACACAAAAGGCCTTCACTCCCTCATCACCGATGGAATTGCGAGCCAATTTGATGCTTGTCACGGAAACGTTCGTCTTCAAAGCTTCAGCTAGTGCCTGGCCAAAGGGAAAGCGACGTGGAAGTAGCTCAAAGCTAACATCTGTGGGACCTCATCAAATACAAATGAGACACAACTCTCAGTTTCCGACTCTGAGTTTCCGAAAAACAATTCCCACTGGATTCAGGGCAAATGTCTTTGACACAGAGATGCACTTCCAGCCAATATCATGCCAATATCCCAGTAGAAAGCATACCAAATCATACCACACAGAATGAGTTCAAGTCAAGAAGAAATTCACCCACTTCATTGACAGTCAACAAAAATTGGAAACTGGAAATGTGACGGATGAGCATGAGCAGACTACAAAGCCTTCCAAAAAGCTGGCGACAAAGACACCATGAGCAGCCACTTGGAACACCGGGACACAAAAGGCCTTCACTCCCTCATCGCCGATGGAACTTTCAGCCAGGCCGATGCTTGTCACAGAAGTGTTCTTCTTCAAAGCTTCGGCTAGTGCCTGGCCAAAGGGAAAGCGACGTGGAAGTAGCTCAAAGCTAACATCTGTGAGACCTCATCAAATACAAATGAGACACAACTCTCAGTTTCCGACTCTGAGTTTCCAAAGAACAATTTCCACTGGATTCAGGGCAAATGTCTTTGACACAGAGATGCACTTCCAGCCAATATCATGCCAATATCCCAGTAGAAAGCATACCAAATCATACCACATCATACCACACAGAATGAGTTCAAGTCAATAAGAAATTCACCCACTTCACTGACAGCCAACAAAAATTGGAAACTGGAAATGTGATGGATGAGCATGAGCAGACTACAAAGCCTTCCAAAAAGCTGGCGACAAAGACACCATGAGCAGCCACTTGGAATCCCGGGGCACAAAAGGCCTGCGCTCCCTCAGCGCCTATGGAATTTTTACTCAGGCGGATGCTTGTCACAGAAGTGTTCGTCTTCAAAGCTTCAGCCAGTGCCTGGCCGAAGGGAAAGCGACATGGAAGTAGATCAAATCTGACATCCGTGAGACCTCATGAAATACAAATGAGACACAACTCTCAGTTTCCGACTCTGAGTTTCCAAAGAACAAATCCCACTGGATTCAGGGCAAATGTCTTTGACACAGAGATGCACTTCCAGCCAATATCATGCCAATATCCCAGTAGACAGCATACCAGGCATACCGCATCATACCACACAGAATGAGTTCAAGTCAAAAAACAATTCACCCACTTTACTCACAGTCAACTAAATTTGAAAACCTGGAAATGCGAAGGATGAGCATGAGCAAACTACGAAGCCTTTCAAGAAGCTGGCGACAAAGACGCCATGAGCAGCCACTTGGAATCCCGGGACACAAAAGGCCTTCACTCCCTCATCGCCGATGGAATTGAGACCCAGGTCGATGCGTGTCACGGAAGTGTTCGTCTTCAAAGCTTCGGCTACGGCCTGGCCGAAGGGAAAGCGACATGGAAGTAGATCAAGGCTGACATCCGTGAGACCTTGTGAAATACAAATGAGACACAACTCTCAGTTTCAGACTCCGAGTTTTCAAACAACAATTCCCACTGGATTCAGGGCAAATGTCGTTGACACAGACATGCACTTCCAGCCAATATCATGCCAATATCCCAGTAGAAAGCATACCATGCATACCACATCATACCACACAGAATGAGTTCAAGTCAAAAAGAAATTCACCAACTTCACTGACAGCCAGCAAGATTTGAAAACCTGGAAATGCGAAGGATGAGCATGAGCAGACTACAAAACCTTTCAAAAAGCTGGCGACAAAGACACCATGAGCAGCCACTTGGAATCCCGGGACACAAAAGGCCTTCGCTCCCTCATCGCCGATGGAATTGTTTCCCAGGTCGATGCTTGTCACGGAAGTGTTCGTCTTCAAAGCTTCGGCTAGTGCCTGGCCAAAGGGAAAGCGTTTCAGAAAGGATACAATTCAATCATTGCCAAGTATTTAAACAAGAGTGGTCGTCCCATGTCTAAGTCAGTGCAAACCACATGCGGCAAAAATTGTCCAGAGAATCAACAGATGCGTATCCTGAAAATCTCGGTTCGACAACAGTACTTGGAACTGTTCAGCAAATGTCACACTGGCTGAAACGTTGCGTGGGAACAGTGAACCAACTTATGTCGATTCGATTGACACAAAAGAAAAAACGCTGCAGAACTGCCCCAGGTGGTTGTCCAAAAATTAGCAGAAGCCCTTGGGGAAAACTGAATTGAAAAGTGGTACAAAGTCCATCAAGTTCCCTTCCAGAAAGGAGCACGTTGTCACCTTGCGCCGCAACACAGGAAACCTGCCTGAAGACGAACCGGTGCTTCAAAAGGGCGTCTGCCGGGGACTTGATCATCACTCTCCTGTTGAGCATGCCACACGACACAGAGGTAAACTTGGCAAGCGTTTCGAAAAGTTGAACAAGATAAGTAAAATAAATAGATATATATTATATTATATATACGTATATATATATATATGATTTGGATATCAAAGCAGCGGCAACGGAAAAACTCAAGCCCCTCCGCATTGTGATGCATGGAGCATGAAGCCACTCAGAGCCCCAGGCCTTGGCTCCGTCAGCAGTGGTGTCTCTGACTGAAGTCTTCCTCTGCAGGGCGTCTGCAACAGCCTGGCTGAAGCCAAGGTCGAGTCGAAGCTCACTGTGACAGATGCACGTTCCCAAGTGTGAAAGAGCAATCCACACTAGGCCCCTGAGAGCTTACATGAGAAGTTTTGGCCGCATGCTGAGACAACAACTTGAGACTCTGTAGATTAGTCCGGCGGCGAGCCAGCCAAGAAATTGACTGTGGGTTAGCACCCCAAAAAAACATACACCTCAACTCCACTTCGGTCATATTTGTCATCAAGTCGTCAATGGTCATTTATGGTCAGTATTTGCAAAACGTAAGAAAATTTGGCTCACCTCTGACCAACCTGGACCACCCTTCGAATCGACATGACACTCACTTGAAGCCGATCTGAAAATGGTTCAAGTGAAAGCATGCTAAAGAGGCTATGCCTGGACATATCACCAACAACCAAACAGAAATCAAGCAAACTACATGGTAAGCGGCGGATAGAACACCACCTGTTTTTCCAACCGTTGCAAGTTCACTTTCCCTGTGTTTTCTCAGGGTTTTCTGCTTTCGTCCATTTTTTGGACCCTCTCAAATCCTGCGACAAACTACTTCGTTTTATCAATGCTGTATCTGTAAGTGTGTATTTTTTTCCTATCACAAGCTTTGCAGGACGTGAGTTAAATTTTGATACACTTCGTTAGGACTAGAAGAAGGTGTCCAAATTCTGTACAACCATTGTTTGATCAAAGTATCGATTTCTGGGTGCATCTTGGATCCAAAGTTTCCTTTGAGTTTGCTAAGGAAAGTTGATCCAATGAATTCCTTTAAATCCTCTCCAATGCTGATCAATGCATTGAGTTCCAATGATCAATGGAATTGTGGTAAATGAATTTACATAAACCGGGGACATAGTCAGGCAAAAGCATCACATCCAGAGCGTGTTTCAAACTACTTAGAAAAGTACAGAAAAATAACATCATGAGCGTGTTACAAGAAGCTGAACTGGAAATGCTTCGAATGAAAGCATGTCAAAGAGACTAGGTCTGGACACATCACCAACAACCAAACTGAAATCAAGCAAGCTACATCTACCCAGAGAAAACATCATCATACTTGGGATACCCCTTGATATGGGCTACATCTATGCCAAAGAGCCCAAGACATCCGAAACAGGCCAGGCCTGAGCTCCCTCAGAACCAATCATGTTATGTTCCAAATTCATGTCCCGCACGGAGCTATTGATCTTCAAGGCTTCCGCGAGAGCCTGAAAGAAACACAAGACATCAAAGATCCGGGTCAGCAACTGCAACAAGTAAAATGAGTAAAGAGACTTGGCTCGCCTCTGACCAGCCTAGACCAACCTACGAATCGACATGACACTCACTTGAAGCCTGAAGCTGATCTGGAAATGCTTCGAATGAAAGCATGTCAAAGAGACTAGGCCTGGACACATCACCAGCAACCAAACTGAAATCAAGCAAGCTACATCTACCCAGAGAAAACATCATCATACTTGGGATACCCCTTGATATGGGCTACATCTATGCCAAAGAGCCCAAGACATCCGAAACAGGCCAGGCCTGAGCTCCTGTGTCATCGATGTCATTCCGTGCCAAATTCATGTCCCGCACGGAGCTATTGATCTTCAAGGCTCCCGCGAGAGCCTGAAAGAAACACGAGACATCAAAGATCCGGGTCAGCAACTGCAACAAGTAAAATCAGTAAAGAGACTTGGCTCGCCTCTGACCAACCTAGACCAACCTACGAATCGACATGACACTCACTTGAAGCTGATCTGGAAATGCTTCGAATGAAAGCATGTCAAACAGACTAGGCCTGGACACATCACCAACAACAAAACTGAAGTCAAGCAAGCTACATCTACCCAGAGAAAGCATCATCATACTTGTAATACCCCTTGATGATCCTTGATGTGTGCTGAGTCTAAGCCAAAGAGCCCAACACATCCGATACAGGCCAGGCCTGAGCTCCCTCGGGACCAATCTTGTTATGTGCCAAATTCATGTCCCGCACGGAGCTATTGGTCTTCAAGGTTTCCGCGAGAGCCTGAAAGAAACACAAGACATCAAAGATCTGGGTCAGCAACTGCAACAAGTAAAATGAGTAAAGAGACTTGGCGAAGCGAGATGTAAGGGGAACATGGGCAAGGGAGTGAAGGTGGCTCTGAGTGGAGTTAGTGAGGTGGTGAGTTGGAGTGAGTGAGCAGGGCGGAGTGAGGGTGAAGTTTGGTAGAGTGAGTTCGTTGGATTGCTAGAGTTAGGTAGAATAAGTGGGTGAGTTGGATGGAGTGAATTTAGTGGAGTTTGATCGGGTGCAGTGGACCGAGTTAGATGACTTGAGTTTGGTGGAGTGAGCTTGGATTGAGAGTGCATCAAGTTGGATCGGTGTGTGAAGGCGAGTTTCCTATTCCCAGGTCCAGCCATGTTCCAAGGCAACATGTTGCACTTCTAGCGCAAAATGATGGCAGATGGCGTGGTCTTGTGGGAAATCAAGCCTCAATCAGCCAGGGGTGTTCAATGGGTGGAACCGGGATAATCGCTGCCTCCGACATCCCTTGCTACCGCAAGAAGTTGAAGCCGATCTGGAAAGGGTTCAAGTGAAAGCATGCTAAAGAGGCTAGGCCTGGACAAATCACCAACAACCAAACTGAAATCAAGCAAGCTACATCTGTAATCAAGCAAGCTACATCTACCCAGAGAAAACATAATCATACCATACCTGCGATACCTACGATGTGGGTTAAGCCAAAGAGCCCAACACATCCGAAACAGGCCAGGCCTGAGCTCCCTCGGGACCAATCCGGTTATGTGCCAAATTCATGTCCCGCACGGAGCTATTGATCTTCAAGGCTTCCGCGAGAGCCTGAAAGAAACACGAGACATCAAAGATCCGGGTCAGCAACTGCAACAAGTAAAATGAGTAAAGAGACTTGGCGAAGCGAGATGTAAGGGGAACATGGGCAAGGGAGTGAAGGTGGCTCTGAGTGGAGTTAGTGAGGTGGTGAGTTGGAGTGAGTGAGCAGGGCGGAGTGAGGGTGAAGTTTGGTAGAGTGAGTTCGTTGGATTGCTAGAGTTGGATAGAATGAGTGAGTTGGGTGGAGTGAATTCAGTGGAGTGAGTTTGATCGAGTGCAGTGGACCGAGTTAGATGACTTGAGAGTGGAGAGCGTTGGAAAGTGTGAGGTGGAGTGAGCCGAGCCATGTTCCAAGGTAACATCATGTTACATTTCGAGCTTTATGTCCAAAATGATGGTGTGGTCTCATTGGGGGAAATCAAGCCCAAGTCAGCCAGTGTTCAATGGGGGGAACAGAGCCAACCGCTGCCTCCCACATCCCTTGCTACCGTGAGAAGCAACCTCCAGCTAGCTACCCGTGATATGCTTCAAATTACTCCAAGAGGAGGTCACCCAGCAATTCAGCGACTTGCCCTTTATGGTTGTATCTGCGGTGAGAAAACAATCGTATCAAGGAAGTGGATCAATGATCAAACAATCTGCTGCCTTCACCATGAATCGGCCACTTTCACCGATGCCACCGATGATTTCAAGCGTCTCCACTTGACGTGATGCCAAAGCCTGCAGGGCGCCAGGATTTTTGAGGACACGGCAAAGTTATTTTTCCATGCATCAACTAGCATCAACTAGCATCAACTAGCACCACCATCACCGACATGTCTCGGGCCTTCCCTAGGGACGTTGCCTCTTCCTCGCCACATTGAAACCTCGTCACCGTCAAGCTCTTCAGATTTTCGTAGTGTGGGAGTGCATGCGCTAGTGCCAAGATCTCTTGGGCCGGAAGGCCTTCCAACACCAAGTGTTGACATTCGATCACCTTCTCCCTGAAAATCTTCTGTTGCAAATAGATCACTGCATCAGCATCCGAGCGATGGGTGAACTTTGCTTGCTCCATTTGCTGCCTGAACTTCTCAGGGATCATAGGAACTCTCCCATTGAGATCATCGGATCCCTGCGTCTCAGACTTCGGATCCTCCGGTCTGTCGATGTGTTGATGTTGTGCATTCACTCCTCTCAGAGATGACCATTCGATTTCTGCCATACACCACCCTCGCTGCAAGTATGGAGTTCTGTTGGCTTCCAAGAGCTTCAAGGGCTTCTCTTTCAGAGTCTTGCTGCCTGCATCATACACTCGGACAACAGCTCCTTCATCAGCCATCATGGTTTCCCAAACATCCTTTGGAGTAAGGGTTTCGATCCTGAATGTCAAAGTGCATTCGTGAGCATACATGAGGTGCATGTTGTTCATCGCCTTCCGAAAGCTCTTGTCTTCATGTGAGTTGGTTCTTTCATATTGGAAGAGCGAGCTGTAATCATAGAAGATCCAAATGTCTGCTTTGAATGCAGCACCGTACAGTCCCGTATGATTGACGATGTGCTGCAATTGGTGCCGACACGGTTCTGGATGTTCCCGGGTTTCCCAGGCGTGGGAAATGGAACAAATGATCGCCTCCTGGGTCCCGTTGGCCCAATTTTGCACTTCTTCGTGCGTCACCAACGCACTCTGAGGCTCGCCACCGCACGTGAAGGTCTCGGTTTCAGCTTCTTGCCGTCTCGGCAACGGCCGTTTGGAGAGAACCAAGTCTACCAAGTACCTCAGATTTCTGTAAGGTGCATCATGTCTCACGTCAGACATGAACAGAAACATCTTTTGTCATGAGTTTCTGGCCTCTAGGATCCTCTAGGGTTGAAGCTGGCATTTGTGGCTCACGTGCTCAATTGTTCAGCTATCTGACTTGCCATCTTCATGTGAAATATCACTGCCTCTGTCCTTTTTGGCTTGAATTTTCACTTGCAAGAAGACGAGGAAGACAAAGCATAATTCTTTGCGTGTATATAACTATATAACCATTGGTCCTGCTTTGGCTGCAATCTAAGGATTCAATGATCGAGCTCTTCCACATGCAAATCTGTACAGCACTGCACAGCACTGCTTTACTGTAGAGCACATAGCCACAACGACTGGGGGTCAAACTTGGCTCGTACCAACCGAACATCCGAATCTTGTAGGAACTGGGCGAAAGCCTGTGGATCTTTCAAGCCGTATCGAGCCTTGGGGCAAATTCAATGGCTCCACACGAGGAAATCCTTCAAAGAAAAGATATACTTTAATATACTCGTGTATCGAGCTGGAATGATTGAGCAAGTGCATAGGGTGTACTGTTGAGATCCGTTAAGGCTGGTCTTCATACATGGACAGAATTCTTCCCCGGTCATGTGCCAACTGACATTTTCTCCACTTGGTACTCGGAACCAGGCTTCTGCGTCGGCCGCTTTGGCAATGGCCTTCGTCAATCAATGAATTTGTGAGACAACCAATCCCCATCCAATATGCCGATATTAGACGGTTCCAAGACCAATAATTTGGGAACAATTGAATGATTGAATGAATAATGATACAAATACATACAAATAATTACTACGACCAGACCTACATCATTTAGTCCTAGGCGCATGATGAACTGGTGGCCACAAGTGCAATGGATTCCCTTGTGATATCTCCCTCGGTCAAAAACTAGGGAAGCTCGAAGCATCGCCACTGAGCTCCCGCGCTTCTCGCACCTGGGAGGCGACATCCTGCCTGGTCACGACTGCGTGGATGGGTTGTTCACCTTTGCCTCTCTAAATCGACATTGGACTCCGGGAAAGGTTGATTCATCTGTCGGAGTGCACCATGCTAAGATGAGATTTTTGTCCCTGCCCGGTCGATTTTGGGTTGTGTTTGCTTGAACCACATGCGACATGTCCTGAAACAGAACTGGCAAAAAGCGAGATAATAGTTGAGCGAGCATCGGCCATTTTTGCCTTTTCAATCCTTTTCAGCACTTGTAAGACACCTGTACCACAACTGGGAGCCCTGAGCATCAACTGCTGCCCGCCTAGTTTTCGCTGTACCAGGAATCGAGTCGTCAGCTTCAACCTGACGAGGCCGCCAACGCTGACAAGGGTCCACATCAAAGAAGCATTGATACTCTCAGCCTCTCAGCTCTCTTCCACAAAGAAAAACGAACAAGAACATCTCTCTCTCTCTCTCTCTCTTCCACATGTTCAACTCTGGTTACGGTTGTCAAACCTCGGCACATTGTCAAACTGTGGCAGATTGTCAAGCACTAATGGTCCATGACTCAGTTGCAGCATCAGAGGAGCTGCGGAGCATTGCGGAGCCTGAGAGTCGCCGAGCTCCAAGAAGTACTTGGACAGTTTCACGATGTCCAGGTGACCTTCACCTCAGCTACGCTGAGCAAAACACCTGGTCTCCTTGACATATCTTGACATGTGTCTGGAAATCGCTCTATGGTTTACTCAGTTTACTATGTACCCTCCGAAGACCGCTGCAAGCGGCTCAACACCAAAAAAAAGCACCTGCATCTGTGGCATCTATGGGTTGGCGGGTCTACTTGCGTGCAGGGCGCTGTTCCTCGGCAGCTTCCGAAGACTGGCCTCTGGCCATTTGGAAGGGCTTGGCCCGGCAACCATCCAATCGTTCAAGGCTCAGCTGAATACACGGAACGTTCACAGGATGTCACAGTTGGTTCTTTTCTAAAAATGATATGGTAACCGTATGTTCTATTGAAAGACAGGTGGTACAGCAGTGTCTAAAGTCTAAGCATGCGTAAACCAGTTATGTATGGAATGACCAGGATTGGCTTTGCAGTCTTGTGACAAACTTTAAAGAATGACAACCTCCAAATTCCATCGTGCAGCTCTCACCTGGCCTGGACTTTGTCCTGGCTCAGCTCACTTCCTGCGACGCCAACGTCTTAAAATGTCAACCTGCGGGTCCTAGCATAGACACACCAACAAGTAAATAGACCCGTATTACAGATTATTACAGTGGATGTTTTCGAATTTCTGCGGGGGTTTAGCTTGGGTCACAAACATCACAAATATGTTTACATGTTTCTATGTGTTACCTTTTCGGCTCCAAGCCCGATCCTGCCTCTCATCACTTCTTGCAGCTCTTCCTCTGACAATGCGCCTTTACCGTCCGTGTCGAACTGCTTTAGATAGTCCAGCAATTCCTGCGACAAATTGCAGAGACCATCTCCAAATTGCACATGGTGACAAGGAGTGAGTTGAACCATGTCAAATCTTAACAAATGACAGCAAGCTTGGTGCATCTCTCATGGGTCGTCAGGTTGGCCTGAACTTTCGGAATCAGCTTTCCCAATTCCTCCTGCATGGCAGTTTGATGCAGCTTGCGGGCTAGAAATCCAAGGATCTGACCCCTGTATCCACCATGGGGATTCCGTGGGATTTCACCAAGCCTTTCAACAACTTCTGCCCTGGTTGGATCTTTGAGTCCTTTGAGTCTTTAAGACACCCAAAAAGAGTTGCTGCACTTCTGAAACATTTGCAAGAGCGACCTGAAGCACACTTCAGACTTCTCACACACATAAAACTTCATCAAGCACCCCGGTTCATCTCAGTCCTCTATGAAACGGTGAAACATCTTTTGGTCAATGTATTTTGGACCACCGAGACCTGCCAAATGCTTTTTGACCTCATTGCAGCAGGGAGATAGAAATGATAGAAACACTTCAACAGTTTATGAACAGACATTGGCACGAGAGGGAAGCAATAGTCTCAAGGCTATTACACAACAGCATTGCCGTCAAAGAACCTCATCTTCCGTGGGCTTCATCCCAAGAATAGCCATGGCATGTCCAAGTCGTTCCGCGGGAACTCCAGAAGGCTGGGAGAAATATCTGAAGACCGCGTTCGTGGAAGCGATGACATCGCTGAACATCGTGCTGTAGGCCTTGGCAAACCGATCCCAGAGGCGCATCTGGGGGCTCATTTCTTGGTGGAGAACACGTGCAATTCAAACACTTTCATTGAAGACACTGACATGTCTTCAAATCAAACAAGGGGAGGTGTCGGGAAAAAAACTGTGTTCGTATGTGTTCACATCATTGAATCCTACTACACTCGATGCCAGAACCGCAGATCAGAGTTGTCCACTTCATGACTTTGTAGATTCCTTCTTTCTTCAGCAATTGAACCCTCCGAGAAATATTGCTGTTTTGTCGCAAAACTTTGCACCTGCCTTGAAATCAGTAAGAAGCATTGAACATCTATCAGAACCGACGGATCTGAATCTGTTCATGAGAAAAGCCTCTGAGCAAGAACAGATTTGCTCATTCTTCTACCGGAAAGCCGGGTCCCCATCCAGCTGGGTATTCTGTATCTCAGGTATCAGTCGCGAGTACTCAGTAGTCAGTAGTCCCACTCCTGAGCCTCCAAACTGCTGGGCCACTGGCGCTCTCCTGTCTTCCACCAAAAGAAGGAACCCCTTTTTGAGAGACCGCCCAATTGCACGGAATTCAATTATCAACTTTGGCCAAACTGCCCAAAAACAATTGGCTGCAGCATGACCAGCCAACGGCTAGAAGCTCAAAGCCAACAAGCTTCAAATCCTCCAGCTCCCGCATGTGCCTCGGCAGCTGATACATCATCTTTGACCACCTTGCAGCGCAGTCACATCCACTGTTTTGGTCCAGTGAACGGAGAAAAGGCTAAACTCAGCATGTGGACATGTGCCAAATGTGCTTGCTTTGATAGTGAAAGAAGTGTCTATAGTCTATATATGGTAAAGTGTCTCACATGGCCGCAAGTGACTGCAATTTTGAGATTCAAGCTGAGATCAATGTTATCTTGAATGAAACGCGCAGAAGTCTAAAGCAACAAAGCTCTAGCCCCTGGCCATTCATGCCTGAATTTCGACTGCTTTGCTATCTGCTTCACTCGCAGATGCTCTCTCTTTCTCTGCCTTGCAACCGACTTGTCAGGCCTTGAAACTACGTGCTGAGAAAAAGTAAGGTCTTGCTGCTCCACTGCTACATGTTTCCATTTCCAAACCACACCAGGTCCACTGCTAGATGTTTTTGTCGGCCACAACCTGAAGTGGAGCTTACAGAGTCTTGCTTAAGATATCTTAAGATAGGCTGGTGCGTTTATTCGAATTGACGTCTGCTTGTTTCTGGTGGAAGGTTGAATCACGGCTAAGAGCGCCCGCATGAGAACAATTCTGCCATGACCTGAAAACATCATGAAGTATTTTCCCAATCTCTATTCTGTCGGAAGAAATACACGTGCGAACACCTCGTTAACCTTGATTCATGAGAAGAAAATTGAAAAACAGTGAACTACTGCGAAAGCCAAAAACACATATTTCGCTATACAAATGAATAAAATGAATTCTGTTTGTTGCTTTGCCGTTCCCGGATGACATCAGGCTGTCCTCCTGAATCTAGACTCAATGCAAGAAAGAAATGAAGGAAATGAAGCACTATGTTTTGATATGTTTTGATATGTTTTGATATGTTTTGATTTTGTCACAAAATACGTATAGATTTCGATAGCAAACCATCGTAGGATATCGTAAGTCAATTCCCACCGGCGATTCCCCCAATGGCTGCCATGGCTGCCTCCGATGGCTCAAGCATGTCCTGCGGCTCAAGGGATGACAAGACCAGCCACATGAGCCCCAATAAGATATGCTCTCAGTCGACCAAAAAATTGTGATCCCAAAGAAACCGATTTCTGTTCGTGTGATGTAGACAAGGGATGACAAGGGTAATGTACCGAGAGCCGCCTCATCACCCAGCTCCAGAAAACACGTTGCCAGCTCCACAATATCCAGCTGACCTTTACCTCCGTCAAAACGAACTGGGGTCCTCTTGGAAAATGGGTAAGGCTCAATTCAAGGCCCCAGAAAAGCCATGAGTTAAAACACCCATCATCCATCTTTTTGGCGACACCCAATCGACCAGAATGGGAATTGTGCACTGACTTGGCAACTTGGGAAGATCAATGTGGTGAACGGATGTGGATACTGGTTCCATCAAACACTTTGGCTAACCGTCAGCTTGTAGCTTGAATCCGGGTGGCTGTTGCTTGGCATCTTTGCGACACTTGCCTCGCGACCCGGCGGAATCCCAAGCTGTCTAGGACTCTGCGAGTCGCTGGTGGTGAGAAGAAACCGTGGTGAACGCAAGGCCGGATTCTCTTCAGTTTCTGAAGAATAAAGGAAACTGAAAAACACCGGACTACCAAAAACAAGTGTGTCACTGAACAAGTGAAAAAGTGATTTTGGTTGTTGCTTTGGCGTTCCAGTTGCAGACCCTCGTTGCTGCAGTTGCTGCAAGTTCTGATTCTTCCCCAACAAGCCTGGAGCTTCTTCTGGCTCAGCTCACTTCCTGGACGGAAAATGTCCGATTTCAACCCACAAATTGTACTGAAAGACTCCATAAAACAATATAATGTCAAATATATATATATATGTGTCAACCATGTATAAAATCCCAAAGCACCCGGGCATCAACCAATCAACCTAGCATCATTCATTCGCTCTCTCAAAATTCCATCATTCGATACATCCCGGAATACATCCGATGGAAATCCTTTCCTGACACTTCTGATCTCACCGCGCCTCTGATCGCTGCTTGAACTTCTTCAGTGGACAAGGCGCCCTTGTTGTCCGTATCATATTGCTTCAAATAGTCAACCACAGCCTGCGCATCTCACAAGCAGCACATACCAGTAGTCTCTGAAATCCGCGAAATTTTGGCAGCTTTAGATCTCAAGGAGTCATTAGAGTTTGGCCAGGTGCAAAGGCAATCAATTTGGTTGTCGTCATTCGACTGGCCTGAACCTGTTCGAGATACTTTGTCAATTCGTCCTGTGCCGTGCTGCAGCTTGCAAAGCTGAAAGAGAATCGGTGAAACAACAGGAACATCAAGCATTCTCAAGGCACAATGTTCATCTATGTTCAACTCACAGGAATGAAACATCAACTTCACAAAGAAAAACCAGACTTGGACCATTCCACTGTCCGACCGTCCTGGATGAAACGGTGAAACGTCGCTTGGTCGATGTATGGGCGACCAAGATCTGCCAAGTGTTTGTAGACCTGGTTGTGGAAATTTGCGGAAGCTCAAAACGCAAAGGGACAGTTCAACAGACCAAACATTCCCAAACTGTCACAGGGAGGTGCGATTTCCTCAAAACCCAAAAGCCCTATCTGCGGCCAAAGATCCTGATCCTCCGTGGGGTTCATCCCCAGGATCCGCATGGCCTGCCCGAGTCGTTCCGCCGGAAGTCCTCGAACTCCATCGCTGAAGTGCCCGAAGACCAGGTCGATGGAACTCATGATTTCATCGTACAGCTTGCTGTGGACCTCGGCGAAGTTGGCGTCCCCCCACTGAGGGTCCATCTCGGTCAGCCCTGAAAAGACACAGGGAGGGTAGGAATACGAGAGATGGCAGGCTCAACATCAGAGGGTTTATGAGGAAGATGCGTTTGCAACCACTGACCGCCCGTACAGAAATAGCGGAAACCACGAAAGGTGAGCTTGGAATATGGTTCTCTGTTCCCAAATCTGGTGCAGAATTTGAGTTCTTCTGGTGGCAAAAACCTCCAAACCAACAACCTTGCTGCGTGCAGTGTGAGAACCTCGAAGCCAAGCAAGCTAGTGAAGACCTTATCAAAAGTGCCAGCACCATGCAACACGCTTCCAGCCCCTCACGTTTTCCTAAGCCTCCCAACTTCCGGGCTGGTGTGCTCCTGTCAACCATACGGCTTCACGAACATGTCTAGCAAATATCAACATGTTTTATGACACCAAGCTCCTGGGCGGTCGGCATAATGCCACTCCCTCAGAAAATGCATAAGCTGATGAATGAAGACACTTTGCAAACATCAGCAGTGCGACTTGATTCCGTCGTAGTTTGGCGGACACCAAAGATTCTTCTGAATCCAAGACAGATGATTTGGAAATGAATGGGAAATCAACCACAGGAATCAGACAATAACGTTGCATCCATCACTCAATAGGTAATACTGTACGAAGGGTGGGTTTTGGGCCGGTGCACATGTTTCAACTCAACTATTGAAATGCAATCAAAACACAGAGCCAAAAACACCAAATAGATCCATAGATCATGCCATGTTCAGCAAACCTTCCAGCCAAAAAAAAAGTTCAACAACAAACGTCCGAGGTCGATTTCGAAAGCCTAAGACTGCGACATCCTTCTGTTTGGTCCGCCTGCGAAAACGCGCAGAGTGACAACCTCATCTCTTTATTCAGAAACTGTCCACATCTCGCCATGTCCAAACCTCGAGCTGAACGCCAAAAAAATTAAAGTTTGACATGAAACAGCATGAAACAGCCCATCCGTTAATGAATGAAGACGAATGAAGAGGTTAAACATGTCCAAAGCCTACTTTAGTCTTTAAGCCGAACAGCTTTCTGTGGTCATGGTTTAAGCATGTTTAAACCATTTGAACCTCTTGAAACAGCAGTTGCTAGATCTGAATCTAAATGAACAAACAAATGCCCCGTCACTCTGCCAGCCCACAAGATACCGTGCACCTCAGCAATATTTGCTGACACAGCACGTTTGGCTGCCTCGCCATGCAGGTCAAATTTACGGCCCCAGTGCAACTACACCACAAATACGCAGCACGGGGACAAGCTACCACCAAAACCACGTGGAGTGGGAGACGAGGCATTGCGGCATTGAAAAAATGCTCCCGTGGGCCTGAGACGAGCCGCCAGAGCCCATGACTTTGTCCTGGGAGTCGACAACTCCACAACCGAAGACAGGAAGTGTCGGAAGTGTTCATGACCTTATCATCTACGGGAAAATCATATGACATTTGTACAAACTCCCTGGGACCCGGCTAATTATAGGAAGGCCTACGATTGATTGATCGTATGTAGGGGACATGTGTGGAGATAGTCGCCCTCTTTGGCTATGGCGGCTACGGATGATGGGCCCAAATGAATTTTTCGTCATGTTTTTTCTCTGCATGATTTGCAATGATTTGCTGGATTTTTCGAGGTGCAGGTCGCCTGATTTTCAATGTAGGTCTGACGTCATGTGTTTGTCCCGACCTATACTGCAACTGGTGGCCAAAAAAATAAAAAAGAACGGGAAAAATTGTCGATTTCTCAAGATTTCTCAAATTGAAAATATGTCGAGATGTCGAGATGTCGAGTGTGGTGATCTAGGCCTGACAAGCTAAGGCAGCTGGGATCGGATTGCCCGTCCTTTGAGGAGGTCGACTCGGCGGTGAAACGCCTTGAAACGCAAAGACTAAACCTGAACTGTTTGTTTGGGAAACGGATGCAACATGAAACCAATGGAAACACTGGAAAACCCCCGGGGAAAGACTGAAAATTGAATGAAAGTGCATCATTGGACCTGTGATTGCAATGGAAATGCAATGGAATCTACAATGTGGAATCATGTGGAACCAATATGAGCCTCAGCAATATGTACTGCTGAGAGGACTGTCAGCAATCTGCGGGACAACTTGCCCTAGGCACTTCCTGCGGCTCCGCGCTCTGGCTTTGCGCTGTTCCGCTGTTCCAAAGCCAAACGGGGTGAGCTCGGAATCGCGTTCAAAGAAAACGACCAAAAAAAAAATGTCACACAAGTGAGAAACCCTGTGCTGCTACGGCGAGTTTGGAATCTTTGTTTGACGTCTTTCCAGCGTTTGTTCCTCTGCGGACGATCTTTGCTGCGCAATGTTGAGCTGCAACCTGCACCATGGGGGCCACCTGGATCATCCCGGAGTCCTGTCCCAAAAAATGGCACTGCTTTTGATTTTTGGCGACCAATGGATCCACCAAATGAATCACACTCAAATTGGGAGAATTTTTGCGCCAATTTTGGAATGACCTTCCATTTTCTGTGCAATTTTTGGAGCTGCAAACTGCAACAAGTCGCAAAGAAGGCCCAACTGAGAGTCGTTTGTTCGGGTCCCTCCAATACTGAACAAATGAATCCGTATCATTTCTGCGACTTCTTGCCAAAGTCCTCAAACCCAAAACCATCCTCAAACGGACAGCACGATGTACGATGTTTGTTGATCCCCAAGATACGTTTGGGAGGCCTTCGGAAGGTTTCACTCTAGTGAGGTCCTCAGAACTTGTTGGGCCGGCCCGTGGCAGCCGAGTTTGATTTCCCAATAAGAACTCTCAAAGTATCGCATCAAAAGTGCTGCCCAATTTGGGCATCCCAAAGCACGGAATCGCTTGGAAAAAAATGACATGAAACGCAAGGTCCGCATCCACTGCAACCGGTGCAACCCTTTTTTCTCAGCGACGAGCAACGGTCGCCCGCTGTGGCGATCAAACAGCAAACGGCGCGCTCAGCAACAGCCGGGTTTGGGTTTTCGCATGCCTCTGGCGCACCACACTCTAGGGGGATCATTGTGATGGTCATCAAAAGTCATCCACCAGACCTATCTATTTATGTAGATATACATACATTTACATGTTTTAAGCCATCACGTTTATCCACATTGGGGTAATCGATTTTGGATGGCATGTGGGAAACTATATATAAAATATACGTTCGCTAACAGAAATATTCAAATACATTTATATACATGTAGATACATATATAGTAATATATATATATATTGGTTGAAGGGATGATAATTGTGTAATTACGCTGTATCCAGTTGTATAAAGGTATTGTCCGCTCCCAGAAGATCCAGAAGCACAAGGACAAATTCTCACCGTGAAACGACCCGAATGGCGCATCCTGGACTTTCAACCATCGCTTCCTTGCTATCCGTCATCTTTTCGGTTCTTGGTGGTTGATGTGGTGAATTCACCATATATTTCCAAGGGCAACCCCACAATCCTTTGTTGCCTTAGATTCTTGTTGGATACGCCACAGTGATGGCCCTGAGCAGTGCTATAGCGGTTCCATGGGGTGAAAACAAGTTAAATGGAGGCAAAACCACCAGCAACTACATCCTGGTTATGGGTCAAGACCCGTCAAAACCCTCCTGTTCTCACCAAAACAGCTGGGAATTAAGGTGGTCATTCCCCCAAATCATCATAGTGATGGTTATATAAATATATAATTACCTGGACCTTCCAAAAGCCTTACTTTGAAGGTCCGTTAGCTTAAGGCCATGGCATGGCAAGACAAGTTGCTTGAGGCCCTCATAAGTTTTTACAAGGTCAGTTGGTAACCTTCCAAAATGCAATATTCAAGGACCAAAACATAGAAACATGGAATCAAATTGAATCAATGATGGTATAAAGTCTTTGTGGGGCCTATAGAACCAATAGTTCCTGCATCAAAATGCACCAACAACCACGTAAAGTAGAACTTTCATGACCAAAACCCACTGGCGCACACAGAAAACACACATCACAGCGCAAAATTTCTTGAAACCACGCCAGACCATTTGTCAGTGAAACGTGGTAAGCCCCCTCAAGCTATACACAAATCCAAAAAGGTAACACCCCGCGCCACGCGTTTAGAGCAACTGGCTCATCATGAAATATCTAAATTCTATTTTTTTTTGTGGCTACATTTTTTTCTTCAACGTTTGCTCCTTTTCGCTGCAGTGGCATTTTGCACCCGGGCTTTGCCACAGGTGAGTTTGAGGCGAAGCCGAGACGCGGCTAAGACTCTCCTTTCAAATCCCGTATTGGAAGTATTTCTTGAAATGTTTTTGAGCCATCTCATGGCATCTTCATCAGTGAAACAGTTGGTGTGCCGTGTGTTTTCTCGCTGCTTAACTGCTGTAAGCAATTGGTGGCTCCAGTAGTGATACTTCGGCTTGAGAATCCATTTCAGCAAAGGAGGCCCCTGCGCTGGCACATGCCTGTTTTGTTGCAAATGCCTAGGGCAGGGCAGGAATGTTGATATCAACCGGCCTTGGAGGAATCAATGTAGTGCCTATGTGGCCCACTATATGATTAATCCAAGTTAATTGACCAAAAAAAACACAAAACAACATAAGTTTCAAAACCCCGACCTCATGCTGAGTGTAGTAAGGAGCAAATGGCTTTGACAAAATCTGATACCTGCTGTCATCATCTCAGCGGCTTCATGGGCACGCCTAGGTATCTCAATCAAAACCCATGCGCGCATATTTTAACAAGTTTTCCTTTCCAAGCTTTTACGTGCAACAAAGCGTAAACAAAAAGAAACGCTAAATAGGAAAGTGACAGATATCGACCAGCCCTCTCTGTCAAGTTGAACCACCTGGCAACTGATCTCCTTGATTGGCAGCAAGTAGTTTGAACCGGACAAGAAACCAAAACTCACAACATATTCAACCATATTAAAAGGGTATAATCCCAAACAATTTGTATAAGCTCCCACCAGGTTTCAAGCACACAGAGGCCAAACCAAATTCAGGATCTGCTGGGTATGGCCAGGTTCGGTGGCCAAGAGCAACTTGCTGGGAAAGCCATACCCCAATAGTTCGACCATTTCCCGGCAGCTGTTTCGAAATGACAACGTCGCAAGCTTCAGCCATGTACTGGACAATCACACGGCCATTGAACGCTTTGTGGGTCATGCAAATGTTGCCATTCTTCTTCACTACCTTAGATTTTTCTATGGTAAATGGTGATGTGGAACATTTATAAACATTTAAGAGTTTTTAAGTTTGCTTGATTTCAGATTGAAATTTGAAAAATATGCGCCAGCTGGTGCCAAGAACAAGCCACCAACCCAGGTGTCCAAACCCCCTGTGTGCACTGCAGTTTTCGCGCCTTTCGCCAAACTTCAAAATCCCGGAAAGCACGCCTCAAATTGAGAGCCAAGCTCTCTTCGGGATTGCCGTAAAGTCCAGCAGTCACAAGGGAAATCCTTAGCACGACAAACCCAGTCACACCTGTGCAACCACCAATGCGCCCAAACACACGTGCACAAACGAATCATTGGAAATATGATGAAAGGGACAAAAGCATGTGTATATAAAAATTTTAAAAGCTAATTCACCTGCAAAGTTTCAAAGCGGAGCCGTTACAAATTTGTAAAAGCCCCAAATTCATATTGTGCATTGAACACAAACGAAGTGTTTCAATGCAAAACCCCGGCAATGCCAACAACGGACAAATGTTGTTTGCAGGCAGCACTTTCTCAGCCCAAGCCCATGTGTCAGAATGCATTGTTTGCGTCCAGTCAGCATCAGGAACAGTTTCAGTATAGAGTGGGTGTCCATCACTCTTTGCTTCACAAAACATGCAAATGCTTTTTGCTTGCCACCCCACCTTTTCAAAGTTCCAAATAAGCTTATGCCAGCCAAGGTCACCTCTTAATTCAGTGCATAGAAAACGAGATCCATCACTGCAAAGCTGCCCTCCATCGGCTCTCATGCCCTTGAATGCCAGGTGGAACCCCCAAACGATTCTTCGAAAGATTGGGTACAAAGTACGGTTTCCCAAAACCAGTGCTGAGCGTACTGCGAAAATACAGAACCTTGAGTACCTGATGCTGGCAGGGCGGTGTAGAACCAGATTCAAAAAGACACCCAGCACTTTGTTGTCTGAGAAAGCGCCACCGTACTTGGTTTCGTCAGCATAAAGCCCAACTGGAATGATTCCAGGCCCTCCCAGTCGCGCCCAGCCAGCACCAAATCGCTTCCCCCACGACCAGTAGAAATTGACGTGCGCCTCTGGAATTCTCAGCTTAGCAGTGTCATGAACATAAGCAAGAACATCGTGAACATCCAGCATAGGGATCTTCATAGTAGATACGCAATTCTCGTCTTGCAAGTCTATGACTGGCACTTCTACATAGCGAGGTTCCTCCAAGGTTCGGGAATGCCAATATATATATAGCATTATCCCCGGCCCCAATCAAAGCTACAAATCTACGTGGTATTCACATATATCCGCTAATTTGCCAAACTTCATGCATACCCCACACACATTGAAGGGATGTTAGGGGGTTCAGATCCATAACATGTAAGATAAAAAGTGATCGATGGGTTGCGGCCATGCCACTAGTGGCAATTTGCAAAATCTCCAGAAGTCCCGTTGATAGTTGCCAACAGGGCGGCTTGGCCGGCCCAGTTTCTGCAAGTTGGATGTCCTAGAAGCGGGCGTTGAAGCGTCCTGCACACATTAGCAGACTCTGGCCCTCCCATACCCTCTAACTGGTAACCGCACAGACGTATATACATGAGATGATACATGCATATAATGCATGTTATAAATGCAGAGCCGAACACAAAAAAAAACGTGCACTTGCACTGAGCATACCCTCACGCATGCAAGTAAACCCTAGCGGCCAATCCTTGGCGCTGGCCACAGCACCTTCCATCACTGACATGACACTAGCGGCCTTGCGAGCAGTCAAGTTATAAAGGATCTTCAAAATAAGGCTGTTGGAAGGTTCAGGTCTATCGATCGAAATTAATTAAGCTAATATTTGTATCCCCCTTTGCCCAACAAAGTTCAACTGGGATGTGGCAGCAAGGATCCTTGGGCGACCTTTCAGAATTCTGATGAATGAGAATATAAGATCTTATAATTAGGATGAAATTCATGTATTACGCCACCCTTCAAATGTCCAACAATGTCCAATATTTATTTATAATATAATATAGATCAGATATATATATTATATAATATATAAAATATATATACCACCCATCGGGCATCTACGATATGGGGGGCTCGAATCCCGTGGGACAATCACATCGATTCAATTCGATTCAAATGATTGTTTAAAAAGTATATCCCGAAGACGATATCATTTTGGCATTCATGATCAAAAATATAGAGTAAATCTCGATAAAATCATCTTATCTGGCTATCCCATTGACCCACCACCAATGCGCACCCGATCAGCAACTTTGGATTGGGCATTGACGACCACATGATCCTGCTCCAAGTCGCTAGAATCACCTGCGTTGGGCCCATGCTCAGGCAGGCAAAAAAAAACATATCTTAATATGTGGTGTATAAAGGGACTAGATTTGAAGTCATATATATATTATTCATATATTCTGAGATCGAGATTTTCCTTAGCCATAATATTGGCCAGTGAACCATATATTCTTTGGATTGTACTCCCCTTCATGGAAATCATAACCAAATATGTTTGAAGTCAGTTTTGAAATACTTTTTTTGGATCCAAGAAATCCGGGACCAAGATAAGGTGAAATCACTAGCCCCCTCAAAAAGACAGGTTAACCAGTTGTGACATAATATATTTTATGTTAGATAGATCTGTTATGTCATATATAACCATATGGGGTGCCATTCCGCCTGTTTCACGCCGATTTGAGCACAAAGGATCCAACAATGGAGTTGGGGATCACCCCGGAAGATTTCTCCACATAAATTAGCTGTTTCGAATCCACACAGAAAAAACTGCACTGCACGCCAATGGATGTTTAAACAAAAATTATGCGGGTGTTGTGCATCGTACTAGTAACCACATACTAAGTTTCAGCAGGGCAAAAATGTTAACGCAACTTGTATAGTGACCTGATGATGGATTTCTGCAGAACCAATTGCCTGGCTCTCAGTCTTTTCATCTGGAACCGAGGGCGGGCGCCAACTCTAAAGTCCAAGTCTCTCCAACCGAAGCCAAATTGTAAGGCTCTCACCGGTCACCGCTTGTAACCCCAGCACCTTTGACCATGGCCTATACATATATCATTATATCATTGGAATTAGCAAGGACCAAACAAACCATTGGGATAAAATATAATATAATTTATATATATAACCGGAAATTGTTTCAGAAAGGCCTTGGACAGGTGTCATCAACACACAAACGGGAGCTAGGGTGATACCAAATCAATCATCGGTCGATCAAAATGTTTCGATCTCTCATCATCGATCTCAAGACGTTTTGGGCTTCTTACTGGCCTTACCTTTGCAAGGCTTCACAGCCTTATCAAATGCCTCAATCAACCCATGCAGATCCCCAGTGAGACCTTCCAGCCGTTCACAATCCTGCGGCGGCCATTTGGGGATTCCATATTTTGGGCATTATTTTTAGATGGGACACATATCAGAATCAGGAGATTACATGTAAGTCATTTTTCTTCGGATTATCAGTGATCATCCATGATCCATGTGCATATGGAGTTCAAAGGATTACATACAGGGATCGATATACCAGGTAGGAGTCAATTATTTTAATTTAGAGGAACCCGATGGAAGATTGCAAACATAGGATTTTTGGGGCCGGTCATTGGGTTATTTTGTGGAAAACCATAGCTCGCCAAAACAACCCCTCCAAATCAAATAAATCATTGGTACAAACATGATCGGGTTGAATTTCATACTTTCGTGTTTGAGGAATTGATTTTTGATTGAGTCCTGGTCAGAATCCAAAGCCTTTTGCAAGGCTGCCCGGCCGGTGCACACGTCTCGCACTGAGGTCTGGATGTCTTCCACCACTGCATCGCGCAACTTGTCAGACCTGAGGGTGGCTGGCAAAGGGTGGAACCAGGATCTTAGGATCTATATTATATAATATATATATTACATATCGGGCCAGATACTAATATTAATATAAATTAAGGGAGATATGAACCCAATTCAAACCACCCTTCAGGGCCCAACTGAACGGCACTGCTCATCAGTTGAATGAAAAATCAGTGACACCTTTTTTGGGGCTAATAAATACCTGTTTGGCTCATCATTGAGAAGTATTTTGGGAGGAATATATTTGGTTGGTACATGTTTGAGGCTTGGACAATTCATTGGCTTTGTCCTCAAATCCCTTTGCATCTTTGATCTTCTTCCCGGCAGCATCAACGGCCTGCAGAAGAATTATTAAAACGACCCACGCTATTTTCAAAAGATATATTATATATGGCCAATATTTGATCCGCTATATTTTGATTTTTGTGGGAGGCACCCTTATATATATAGAAATCTTGCTAGGGAAATTTATTTGGGTATAATAATACTTGGGAAAGAGTGGGTCACATAAAACTGTGCATGTAGTATTTCGCTTCCTGAAAAAATACTTCATCATTGGCCATCAGCGTAGAAAACAATACAAGTGTTTTCCCTGAACGTAATATAGTTGTTGGGGTTAAGATAAGCACATCTTGCATCAAGTTGAATGGGAAGGCATTCGGCTACAAACGCAACGACTTAGATGGGAGGAGGCAGAGAAGACAGGAGAAGAAGAAAGAAGATCAGATCTTAAGATCAAAGAAGAGATAGTCAGAAGAAAGAAGATCCAGGTGCGCGAAAAGACTGTGTTTTTCCAATGGTTTCTGGCTCCGGACGGTCGAAAAAGTAGGCTCGTCAAAGCGGCAGGTGCGGAGAAATCTGTGGCAAACCGTTTGGTGATTCTGTGGGAGTTTTTTGCGCCCAATCGTAAAGCCCCAAGCCCCCAGCGCAAGCCTTCTTGGCCTTTCGCTCCACTTCTTTCTTTTTGGCTTTCAGCTCTGCGTCTTCTGACTTGTTTTCGTCTTCTTCTTTCACCTCCTTCTTTGCCTTTTTCTCCTTGTCCTTCTTCCCTTTGGCTTGTTTCTTTGGTTTTGGCTTCTGTTCCTCCTGGTGGGCGCAGCCAAGATCGGAAGACAAGTAGACCCACCCCCTGATCATGATGATTCGGTGTACATGTTGAAATCATATGTTTGAACACGGCATGTATCCGACCGAAAGACCATGATACCTGCCTTGTTGCCCTTTTTCTTGCCTCCGCTGGCCTTCTTTGACTTCTTTTTCTTGCTCTTCTTCTTCTTTTTGTCGCTGCTGGAGCTGCTGTCTTTCGAGCTGGAGCTGCTCGAGGACGAGCTGTTTTCTTCGACTGCCTTGTACAGCCTCGAGATGACTGTTTCGTTGCTGTCGACAACCTTGTCCATGTTCAACGTCAGGTATTGCCTCATCTCTTGGCACCCTGGTGCTTCAGGGTGATCTCTGACCTCATTCTTCCGAAGTTCCTCTGTCTCTTCCTTTCGAATTATGATTGCCTCTGCCCCAGCTTGACCGAAGCGCTGTTCTAGCTCACGACGGGTCATCCATTCCCTCACTCCCATCTTTTGAGTCTTCTCAGTCGATGCGCACTGTAAGTAAATTTTGCTTTTGGTCCAATCTCCTCCAGCTTCACTCCAACTTTCGTAAAGGACTGACATGAGGTCCTTTCCTGGGATTGCTTGGTCATATACATGCATGCATGCATGCATGCATGCATATATATGATGACCGCACTATTTGCATTCAAGTTTCGGCCGATGGCCGTTTTCCCAATCTTTCGGATTTCAGGTGGGGAGTTGACACCTTACATGTCGATCGAAGAGAGGAGGTGATATTGTATAATACTGCCTGAATTGAATGAATGAATATATCGATCAACGCACTGCGTATAGTACTGAGTGCTGGGCTTGTCAGGGACCTGAAGTATTTCATGTACCTGGCATGCGCAGCCTTTTTCTTTTCTTCAAGCTTCTCTCTTGCTTTCCTCTCCTTCTCAGTCTCTTCTGGGTCAGCCTCTGGGGATTCTTTTTCCTTTTCCTCGTCACCTGTCTTTGCAGCTTTGGGTTGCTTGTCGTCACCTTGCTGCGCATCTGCTTTTCGTTTCCCATCGGGCGCTGGTGGTGGTGCTTCTGCTGCTGCAGATTTCTCCTTGGCTGGTGCTGATGCTGGTGCAGGTGCTGTGGCCGATTGACCATTCGTGCTCGAAGATGCTTCTGTCCCTGTTGTACTTGGTTGTGTACTGGCGTCAGTTGCAGGTGCTGTGGCTGGTGCTTTTTCGCTTTTCTGATCCACGGCCACTGTCTTGGGTTCGGCTGCAGGTGCTGTGGCTGGTGCTGTGGCTGGTGCTGTGGCTGGTGCTTCTGCATTTTTCTGCTGTTCGGTTGCAGGTGCTGCGGCTGGTGCTTCTTCGTTTTTCTGCTCCACGGCCGCTGTCTTGGGTTCGGCTGCAGGTGCTGTGGCTGGTGCTGTGGCTGGTGCTGTGGCTGGTGCTTCTGCATTTTGCTGCTGTTCGGTTGCAAGTGCTGTGGCTGGTGCTTCTTCGTTTTTCTGCTCCGCGGCCACTGTCTTGGGTTCAGCTGCAGGTGCTGTGGCTGGTGCTGAGGCTGGTGCTTCTGCATTTTTCTGCTCTTCGGTTGCAGGTGCTGTGGCTGGTGCTTCTTCGTTTTTCTGCTCCACAGCCACTGTCATGGGTTTGATTGCAGGTGCTT